GCATTCTGCAGATTTTCGATCCCTCTTTTCATAAAAAAAAATTTAAATATACTTTTCCAATTATTCATTCATAACTCTTACCCGTATCCTCTACTTAAGAAGATCTTATTTAGTACGTCGACCATTGAAGTTCAAATCAACAGTACTTAACGTCTGACAATGTCACAATTGGGGCTGACCCACCTCCAGCTTCTATAATTTTCTCTTCTTTACCATACATAAGTTATATGACACCCAAGTTATGCAGAATTTTCGAAGATTCAAATGTAAAATAGCTTTCAGAACCATACTCACCATTAATAAATTATTTTCGAAACTTAACGATAAGACTCCTATTAACTTTCAATATCAATTAATTTATTCCATTCCATGTTTGAATTGTGGTAGGAAATATATTGGTCAAACGTCAAGATTACTTTGCTTATTCACGGTCGTTTTTATCTCAATTTCTTGCAAGCACCTAATTAGCACTTTATAAGCAACGCTTAGTTTATATCTGATTGAGCATTTGTCTTCGTTTTCGGGAGACCTGATTCTCATATCTGCTGTTTAGCGAAATCGGAAGCTTTTGTTTATTCATTAGAAAATTTCACGATCCTCACCGTTTAGCACTTAATTAGCATTACATAATGCTAGCAACGCAACTTTGAGTATTGAGTTGCGGTGTAAGTTACAGAGCACCTATTTTTTGACTTCGGTACGTAAAAAGCACCTAAAAGTACCTAATTTTGACATTTTCTAAATGCGATTTCCGTACTTTGCGTCGCTGGCGTAACAGAACTTTAGAATTTGTTTTTTTTTCATATCTTATATTATTATTCTTGTTATGTGAGTAAGTAATGAGTAACTGTAACATTGTACTTTCATTATACTCATTAATAAAGAATACACTTTTGAAAACCATTATTTTGTTGTAGGTTTCCGTAAACTATTTGGCTTTTCAAAAGGGTTCCGTCACAAAAAAAATGACGACTACTGATCTATACAATTATTCTTATGCTTTATAATTCTTAGTTCCATTTTCTTTCTCTCGGAATTTCTGATTGAAAAAACTAGTGACTTTCTCATTGATGAACATGTTGTTTTCGACAAGTGTTTTGATCAAATCATAATTATTCTCACAAAATCAGTTTTTCTTGAATCCACTGCGATATAAAAGAATATTTCAATTGGGAGATTTGCATAAGGAACGCCCTTACGAAGTTAATTATCATTCATATTTCTTTGTGTTGTTTCAGAAAGCCTGTATAATACGTTCAAAGATAGCTTTTTCAGTTGCGAGTGTTCCCTTGAGCCAACAATGAGTTTCATATGATTTCATCGTCTTTTCAAAAACGTTGGAAGATTTGTAGTCAGAATCGGAGTTTATATCCTGGCAGAACAACAACTTTATGTAACTCCTGATCTTCTCTGTTTCTTTGCACGAATCATGTGAATTTGAAATGTCAGTTACTTCCAGCTGAGTACCTATAGTTTAGAAAAAAAATATTTTTTTGTATAATTCAGTGTCCATATATAAAAGTATTTGTTTCGAAAGTATTTTTCTTTCGTGTAATTCAATGTTTATATGGAAGTAGCTATTTCGAGATTCACACATCTTCGTATAGAGTAATTGTTTTGAAATTGATTGCTTTCTTCCTTTCTTTGGATGATTCCCACCTTTCTTCTGTATCGAGATGGAGAAGTAAAAAGCCAGATTTCTTTCCCAAAAATTAACCTCTCCTTTGAATTTAAAGAAGATTCCTTTGTCTGAGATTTAATCGAATAAGCGAATGAATGCCATTACATACTGTCATCGATGACATGAGTGAATTGAACTCATTCTGTGACAAGTCGTAATTTCATGAATGAATTATGTGTTTTTCCTCATAATGTTATCAAGATTTGATACTGGAGAGCTGATGAGGCAAGTGTCTCACTGTGAAATATCGGATGTGTACCAGTGAGGATTACAGTGTTCCACCTAAGTGAAATTTCATCTCTTCCATTTAGTATATTGTGTAGGAATCCTGTGAATGATATCTGGTTCAAAGTGGGTCAGAGAGACCCACACCATAAATCGATACGACCAATCAGCCTCACATCCTTTCTGTTGAAAAGATTCGAGAGGATACTGGACAGACACATCAAGAGGGTAGCATTACATGCATCCCACCTGAATAATCACCAGTATGCTTATCAAACCGGCAAATCAGCAGATTTAGCATCAAACAACTTTGTAGAGAAAATCTCTCAATCCCTTGACAACAAGGAGATTGCGGTTGCTGTATTTCTTAATACTGAAGGAGCATTTGACAATGAACTATCTAAATTTATAGGATTGTCTCTGGCTAGGAAAGGTATAGAATCGACCATAACTGGCTGGATCTATGCCATGCTGGTAAACAGAACTGCAACTACGACACTTCAATGAGAGGCTATTGGGTTCAAGGTCACCAGGGGCTATCCTCAAGGTGGGGTACTATCTCCCCTTTTCTGGTCGCTCCTGACGGATAGTCTGCTTGATGCCCTCGACAGAAAAAAAGTTGATCTGCAAGCTCATGTGGATAACCTTGTCAACCTGGCAAGGCCCACGACGGGTAGTATCCTCCAAAGCACGGTGAACGTAATTCACAGTTGGTGCTCGAGGAAGCAGATGTCTATCAACCCCAGAAAAACTGTGTTAATCCCCTTCACCATAAGGAGCAAATTGGATGATCTAACGCCACTTTTCCTCAATGGTGAGGTTATTCCATTTGGAACGAAGGTGAAATATCTTTGCATTGTCCTTGATAAAAGACTCATGTGTTACGTTCACTTGGAAAACGTTTCACACAAAGCCAGACTGTCTCTATGGACATGTCGAAGGATTTGTGGTAAAACTTGGGGTTTAGGTTCCGAACAAATCCATTGTCTTCATGTGATGATTGTCAGACCAATGATCACTTATGGTGGTGCAATTGCCTTGTGGCCGAAGGCTTTACAGAAAACGCCCCAAGCGAAGCTCTCTGGATTACAGAGACAGGCTTGTCTGGCTATCAGTGGTGCCGTCAGTACCACACCGTCAGCGGCCATGGAGATCCTTCTAGATCTACCTCCTCCTCACATTCTTCTGGAGAGAGACGCTAGATAGATTGCATACAGACTTGTGTACATGGTCAGTTACACAAATCAATTTAATGCAGAGTGCAACAGACTGTTGGTTGACACTGAAAGCCACAGCATTCTGAAAATGACTTCTGACTTCATGCATCCAACTGTCAACTACGAACTCTTATGAAGTACTATTCCCGAGTAAAGAAGGCTGGATCCTCCGGGAGAAAGAAATATTAAGAGCAGATAGTTGTTGGTTCACAGATAGATCAAAAACACCTTCCGGTTCTAGTCGCAGACCCAGGACAGAATTATCTACCTGTCTAGGATTTTATGCGACTATATTTCAGGCGGATATTCACGCTATTGAATTGTGTGCGGAGAGATTGGAAGAATCCAACCTTATACACAAGTCAGTAAAAATATTCTCGGACAGTCAAGCGGCGTTGAAAGCTTTTGGCTCCTACCGAGCAACGTCTAAATTGGTAGCAAATTGC